GTTTGACGCCGCTTTTAGCAATATTCCAGCAATATCACGGCGGGGACACCAGAAATGGGCTTCACACAATGTGCCCATGTGGGGAATCGAACCTGGGTCTTTGACGTGATGAGCGAATGCCTTAACCACTAGGCTACCCCACTGCCCCTACAGCTTTTGGGAAAGGGGGGTTGCACAGTTAATTTTCACCCGTTTTCAGGAGTGTTTCAGTGGTCATGTAATAAACTTTCAGGACAAAAGGGAGGGTGGGCACCCCTGCACCCCAACTCTGGATCTGCCTATGACTTGTATTATATTCATGTAGAAGCATAACATTCTGCTAACATATTACATTAAGCAATAAACACTAGTTGAGAAGTGTTTTGTTTTATGTATTATGTACCTGTGTATAGATTTGTTCTAAATATTAATGGCCTGTGGAAAAAGATGAAACCAAATAACTGTTCATTGTTTTTTCATGTAAGTCAAACACTTATATTAAAACAGAGTGCACTTTGTCAGCTGTAACCAAAGTATTGTAGACATTTTCACATTTTGAAGCCGTAGTATGCTATTAGTGGAAAACAGCTACTTATATTTTCCGGTGGATTCCAAATATAGTTGCCCTTTACAAACAGTATAAGGATATTTTACTTTCTGCACTGATAGCTGTTCCTTATGAGCCAAAATCTTAGCGCCAGCATACATGTGATATGTTTCTCCATATTCTCATGAGCAACTTGACTTTAGTTCATACAGTTGTAATCTTGTTCTCTGCTGTTTGTTTTGTGAAGTTTTCTCCATTCCATCATATAAGAATTGTGAAATGTTGTCAAATCACTGGATCAATTTTGTGTTTCCTTGTGCACCTGGTTTTGATACCAGGAAATAGCAAGAAACAACCTTGACCTGCAAGGACTCTAATAACTGAAATAGATTTACGTACTTTAGAAGGCGATAATATGCATTCCATGTATCTGATCAGAATTTGTTGTTGATGTCCTTCACCTTAAAACGCTATCTTACTGATTGTGGTGCCTTTGTAGTTATGCCATCCATGACTTTGAATATCAGAGGTCATAAGATTAATCAACGTTCAAAGATGACCTTTATGTCACTGTCTTGGAAAAACAGACCATGGTTGAAAACGTTGGTTTCAAAATAAATCTTGCATCTTCCCAAGATTAATGTTGGCAAGTCTTGCTAGTGAAGTGCACTCTGGCAGGTGATACTGTGATGAGATAGTTCTCGCGGAGTCTCTGATGGTAACCTCCCGGGGCTAACGGTTGCTGGAATCTTCTGATGATCCAAACACCTGTCCGTGTTTAGGTGGGAGATAAGTAGGAAGGCTTGATAGATCTTCAAGATTTACTTCACTCATGTACGGCATGGTCCAGTTTGTATTCCTTACATTGTTGTGCTAGTTTTTTCCTTTAAGGCAGCCAAATTATTAAATTTTCATGAGCTAAAAGAACCTATCATTTAAGAAATTTGGAAAGATCTAAATACAAAAATTGTCACTTATTTTGAAGTAATAATTGAATGTATCAGGGGTAGGAACTACTTCCATATTCTTGAAAAATATCTGGACAATGCTATCAATGCACGACATCTCCGAGAGCGGAAATGGGGATGACTAGCAGCTGGAGGCTGACTCCCACAACAGGGAGTCCATGTTTTGATAAGGCTTGTATGTTTATTTCCCTGGTAATGGACATATTTCTCCCTGTCAGGTAGAATCATGTTGCTGACACTTGTAGGTGATGCAGGAGATTAGCTGAACTACCATCTGAGTTATATGAAATCAAAAACAAAAGCATTAAAATGGTGTTTTCAGTTGCTTAATATATTAGATTACATGAATGGTGGCCCGTGAAGATCTGGGTTAGAATTAACCTTCAGCAACCCATGCTTGAGGGTGGCGACTAACATGATGGGATGGTAAGGCTTACTGACTTGGTTGACACAGGGGCAGTGGGGGATGGTTAAAAGCGCTGGCTCGTCACATGAAGACCCGGGTTCGAATCCCCACATGGGTACAATGTGTGAAGCCCATTTCTGGTGTCCCCTGCCGCGATGTTGCTGGAATATTGCTAAAAGCGACTTAAAACCAAACTCAGTCAGTCAGTCAGTGGTTGACACATGTTGTCGTATTCTAATTGGTAAAATGATGTTTGTGCTGTTAATCACTTGATTGTCTGGTCAAAACTCGATTATTTACAGACTGCTGCCATATAGCTGAAATATTGCTGAGTGTGGTGTTAAACAACAAACCAGCCAACCAACATGAATTAGGAGATAAAGGTATTCTGTTTTCATTTTTGCGGTCCTTAGCTGGTGATTTAAGACCGGTAAAATGTCATTTAAAGCTGATGCATTAGCAGGTAAAGCAGCCTACGTGTAATTAGCAGTCCTTTGATTCAGGTTTAAGGACGGTCACGTGCAACAATCAACCAATCAGAATCGGGTATCCAACAATGTCATGCTAGAATGGTAAATTAGATATATTTGATTGTATGTATCTAGTATATACATAAGGTAAAGGACAGTCAAGGATTTGATAATCTATAAAAGTGTGCAAAACTCTTGTCATGTACTGTTTTAGCCTTCCTTCTAAATCCTTCTCTCCTGACCATTTTGTACAAGTATAAAAATATGCTGGTACCACTAATGTAAAAATTAGACATCTTTTGTGGCCTGAGCTGATTCCATTACACACATGGTAAGTTGGGATCAAACTACAGCAGTGGTGAGGTGAGGTGAGGTGAAATTGGGTTTAACATCGTGCTTGAGAATATTTTGCTCATATGACGACGTGCATGCATGTGTATGTATGTGTATGTGTGGCTGCTTGTACTAGCCCAGACCGAAGCTGGTTTTATAGTGCTAGCCCACTGAGATACCATGCCGTAGTGAAGCATGAATACCCCACTCAGACACATTATACTGACTCCGAGCCGACCATGCAGTCCTTGTTGTACCCATTAATGCCGAGTGCCAGGCAGGGACCAACAAGTACCATATTTTAACGTCTTTTGGTATGACGCGGTTGGGGATCAAACCCGCGACCTTCCACTCTCCGGGACAGCAGTGGTGGGTAAATAACAGTGGTCACACTGTACATGTGTGATGATGAAACAGAGTAATTAAACATTACTGACTGATCATTGTGGTGTTGAGTTTTCAAGTGTTATTCTGAGAATTTCCTATTTTGCTCACGTTTCAGTGTGTTAAGTGAACGTTGTTGCAATAATGAATATTAAAGATTTAGTTATGGAACCATTTGAAAAGAGTAAATGAGTGCTGTTTGAAAATACTTGCATTTCTTTGCACATTTATGTGTAAAACAGGCTGAATGCTCCCTTTGTGTTTTGTGGTGATTTTCACTTTCATGTGCTTTGCTCATCTCACAGTTCCAGGTTTGTTGATATCAATATGGCATGGCAATAACGCATCAAACATTCATTGTCTTGTTGAAGCAGTGGCACCTTTGCAACTTTGAATACATTTTTTATAGCATATGAAATATCAGCATTTGCTAAGTTCATCAAGAAAAAAAACACATAGCTTTTTACCCATGACTCAGAAGCTATCTTTAGAGGCAGTAATGGTGATTCCACCAGGCCGACAATTCTTAAGGAAGGCAGTATTTAATCCTTGTTCCTGATCACCTTGAAATTGACTCCAACTGCGTGAAGGAGATTATGCTGTATACGGCGGTGGGGTTGGCAGGCTGGGGCAGTGCTGGAGAGGAAGCAGGGTGCATGTTCCTCCTGGGGGGACTGGGCAGGGATTGCCACATTCTTTTCCCCATATATCAGGCCTCTTGGAATCAAATGATTGCGCCCTCTCAAAACTGCTGAATATGCCTATTTTCGTGGACTAACATTTCTAAGAATTTGGACAGGCTGTTATAGGATAGTGTTTTTGTGGATAGAACTATTACCAGGATGAAATTGGATTTTCGGGAAGACACTGGTAGATGATTTGCCTGGGCTTGTATGGTGTAGTGATGTTGCCTCTCAGGAGCTATAGCCAAGGGTTGTATTAATCTGTGGTGGTAGTTTGGTCATGCTGATGAAGATGTTTGCTTACTTTAGTACCTCTTCACGGAATCTACTGCAACACTATGCTGAATGATGGAATAACCAGTTATGGACTGAGATCTCTGCAGTGTATCTTGAATGGATTAGCACAGCAAGTCAAGGACTTTGGTGCAGATTTTCATGTACTTCACACTGCATAAGGATAATGTGTATCAAATAAGATATTTTCGTGATTTGGAGTATATTTGTACATCATGAACTTCTTTTACTAAATTTGGATTTCAACTTCTCCAAATTCAGATCATCAAGTTTGTGAGAGTATGCTCTAATATGACCTATGAAAACACATACCAAATTAGCTGGACAGTCTTTCATGAGTTACTAATGGTTGTGAGTACCCAGATGGTGTTTTCCTAGGGGCCAGTTCTCACTGACCATTAGGCTGTCTAACTGACCTGCCAGATATTTGACTCAAGTATTTCACTCAACTGCATTTTCAATTACCAGTATGCCAGGCTCATGACCATTTATATAGGATTCCAAAGGTAGACTGGCCAGACCAACACAAGAAGCTGTTCCTGATTGACCAGTCACAGTAGGGGGACACATCTTGATGGAAATTTCATGATTAGTTTTCAACCAGTGGAGAGTGTATTAAGACAAAAGTGACATTTGGAAGGGATTCCTACATAGAATTCATCAAATACCCTATGGTCAAGCTGTTCCAAGGACAACAGCTGTGTCTGATTTTTTGCCTACAGTTCTAGTTTCTAATACCGTGGATTCTCCACCCCTGGCATCCTCCATCTGGGAAGCTGCTGACTTCTCCCCTTGCTATTTTGTGGTAACAACTTGAGATATTCTGTGTGTATATTCTACCACCACCGCCATGCTGACATTTGCAGTGAATCCGTTATAGTACCTGATTCAGCACCATTCCTGAAAGTCTGCTAGCAGAGTTTTTCTGAAATCAGCATGTCGCAGGATCTCCTCTACTGGCGCCGAGAGGTCATTCACTATAATCTTTATGGGAGGAGGAAACAGTTATACTTTCATCACTTTTTAGAATGCAAGGGTAGGTTGTTCAAATATTTAAAAACAGTTTCAGAAGAATAATCAGTTACCTTGATTCTATAAAGATGAAAAATGCTTATATTTCCAATACAAATCTGATTAGTAAGTGGTGTCCCTGTACTTGTAAATAATGCAGGCTGGTGATGTTAGTAACCATTTTTAGCACTCTTATACAGCATACAGCATACAGGTATGTTATCATACATGTAGTTGGCCATTAAACGGTTGGGTGAAGCTGTAATGCATTGATGGGCTAATTAGGAAATAAAACATGTCAGGTTTTTAGTGAAGAGTTTAGTTACTAAATCAAATCTGAAACTGTGTTTACAGCATGAGGTTTTAAATGTGGACCACGCTCCATGTAAGTGTACAAATTACCCAACTCTTTCACTGTACTGTACCTGTGTTCTACCATAGATTGAGGCAAATGATATTTTTGTTGTTTCTTTAACATGTAGAAGGTTTGAATTTGGGAATCACTGCTTTGTTTAAAATTTACTTTATTTCTGTATATTCCCAATCAAAAAACCAAGCAAGTCTATGTTAGAAACTGTACTCCACTGCAGTGAATGTACAGCCACACTTTTGGAGAGAAAAGTATCAAATTGCAATTTGTTTCTAAGGATATACCATGCCAACTGTGATCGACGTAGTAACCTCAACTCTGTATTTTGTCAGGTGCATTTGCACATAACACTGGTTACAAATTCTGTGAATATTACTTGACCTATTCCAAATTTATGGTGAATAATTATCATATCAGTTTTCAGAGTCATCCCAAAATGCTTTCTGAATATCAATTCTCAGTTGCTAATGCCCTGAGACTGTAACTTGCCTTCTAAGTCAAAACTATGTTCAGATTACAATTATTGTAGCTATGTATGAAAGTTGAGGTGACCCATATAGTGAGTGAAACATTGGGGACTGTCAGTATTCAGCAACCCGTGAAGATCCCGGTTAAAATTGATCTTCAGTAACCCATGCTTGTTAAAGAGGCGACTAATATATCAGGTGGTCAGACTCGCTGACTTGGCTGACACATGTCATCATATCCCAATTTTGTATATCAATGCTCATTCTGTTGATCACTGGATTGTCTGGTCCAGACTCCGTTATTTACAGACCGCCGCCATATAGCAGGGGTGGAAATAACCCATTGCCCAACGTCCGAGTCCAGTGTTTTTTTCTGTCGGGCAAGCAAATTTGTATATCACACTGTACTGGTGTCCAGTTGACTTTCCAATGTTAATTATGTTGTTTATTAAAATAATCAGCAAGAAAACGGTCGGTATAGTGGAAAAATTATCAGGGCAAGTGACTTTACATGTGCCACTGTACCGAAGTACACTATCAATTTTAAAGTTATTTCCACCCTGTATAGGTTGAATATTGCTGAGTGTGTAAAACTGAACTCATTCATTCACACAGTATTCAACATAAGGCTCAGTCTGTGGAGTAAGTAAACTACCATCATCTGAAGTGGAAATTATTACAGACTATTAAAACAGGCGATGTATGTTGCCACAACACTCACCAACTTACATACAAAAACAATCTTGTCAATCTTGATATTTTCATTTCAGCAATCCCATACATCCCCTTCTCTTCCCCTGAGATTGAGGATGTTGAAGATACCTCCGCGAAGCTTCGCTGGCAGCTTATTGACGTTCCAGCTTTCGAATATGAAGATGAGCCTCTATCATTCATGGTTGAAAGTCAGCGTTTCCCTGACTACGAATGGAGGCCTGTTGCCCGGGGAATCAAGGGAACATCTCACCGCTTGACGGGATTGCAGCCACGACAGGATTATTATTTCCGTATTCGAGGAGAGACACCATATGGACTGACAGAGCCATCTACACCTATTTCCCCTGTACAGGAGACCAGGTCAGCTATATTTCACTCATCAGATAAATTATCTCCCTTTATCCTGGGATCTGACAGAACTAAAAATTGTACTTCTCAGTTCCTCACTCTAACATCTTTTAACTAATGTGTTTATAATGACACAGATATATTCCTAATCTTGCACATAATGGGCTGGCTGCCAGTTATTTTTGAAATGATACAGACCCATGACGGTCTGGGTTAGAATTGATCTTAAGTAACCCATGCTTGTCGTAAGAGGCGACGGGATCAGGTGGTCAGGCTTGCTGACTTGGTTGACACATGTCATCGTATCCCAATTACATAGATCGATGGTCATGCTGTTGATCACTGGATTGTCTGGTCAGATTTGATTATTAACAGACCGACGCCATACAGCTGGAATATTGCTGAGTAAACTAAACTCACTCACTTACCCATGATACAGAGTTAGTGACATGTTTTACGCCACTTGACCAATACTTGTTGATAATGTGCCATCTCAAAGAAAACCCAGTCGATGCAGATGTTACAAAGGTGTACTTTGTGTGGCCTCATTTATCACTGACATGCATGAACGCATTTTCTGTTTCACAATTCAAGCATGTTGGAGTAGACAGTTTAAGACTATGCTCAAATATGCAATCTTCATAGTTTGATCATTCTTTGCTGTTAATGTTTTCAGTTACATCAGGAGTGCCAATTGCAAGACCGTCTATTTTCGCTGAGGAGCCATATGGAGCCAGGCTCCGTTGGAGCAATGTCCACATTCCATCCTACAAGTCCATGCCGAAAATGTCCTACATCGTCGAGATGCAAGAACCACCTCGAAGGGAATGGACACCCATTGCAAGGGACATAACTGCGCATGAGTACCAACTGACCGATCTCAGCCCACGCAAGGACTACATGTTCAGGCTCCGTGCCTCTGACCCAAGTGGTGAAGTCAGCCGACCTACACCACCCATTCCATACTGGAAGTCCACTAGTAAGTTGGAAAGGGGAGTCTGGATGTAGTGTTACACAGGAAAATCACTTTGGTGTCAGATCATGTAAATACAGTCTCTGTACCCGTAATTTAACCCATGCTTGTTGTAAGAGGCGACTAACAGGATTGGGTGGTCGGGCTCGCTGACTTGGTTGACACATGTCATCATATCCCAATTGCATACATCGATGATCATGTTGTTGATCACTGGATTGTCTGGTCCAGACTCGATTATTTACAGACTGCTGCCATATAGCTGGAATATTGCTGAGTGCGGTGTTAAACAACAAACACAAACAAATAACAAATGTCACTTATTTTATCATGGCATACATTGTTGCCAATATAATACATGCCCTGTACATCAGTTGGTGTTGAGTGTTTCAGTGGATGCTTCCTTAAAAATATCATCTTGATTCATTAGGCTTATCAGTATTTTCAGTTTTCATCCAACATAAGACTAACAATGACCATCTGATATGGATCATTCCATCTACTGCTTACATTGATAGAGCATGACCATAAAACGTTGATACTAAACGGCTCCTATGTCTGTTCTCCAGGACTGAGCTACGAACCGCTGGTTGCTCCAGAATCACTCATCAACCAGGAGGACTTCACGCTCACTAACAGACCCTACATCGAAAGTCTCACTGTCAAAGGTATGTATGTGTTTTTGACATTTTTCTTTTCATTTCATGGAGCAGACAGAAGTCAGGATACAATATGTATGTCAATAGCAAGGATGCAGTTACAAACATAGTATAATTAATGAGTGAGCATGGTTTTATGCTGCTTTTAGCAATATTACAGCAATATTACACCACAAATGGGCTTTACACATTGTACCCATATGGGGAATTGAAACCAGGTCTTTGGCATGACGTGCCAACACTTTAACCACTAGGCTACCCCACCGTTCCCATAGTGTTCGTATATGTGTTCGTATTTGTGATTCTTAATTCTTCAGTTGCTGCAATATGACAACTCTATTGTTGAGCTTCATAGGGTTTAACATCATCCAGTGTTCATGATGTATGCCTGACTGTAGGATTAACTTTCCAAATGGTTTTCTTCTTAAAATGATAAGGGTAGTTATTAACCTGCTTAAAACTGAGTTCAAAGACAGGGGACTTCCCCTGTTGATTTATTTATAATTGACAGCACCATGAAGGTATATTCTGTGAATCCTTCTCCTGTGACACATATATTGTAATCTTAAAAAATCTGATGAATTATTAGAGCCTTCTTTCATCCCTGCTTGACACTATCATTGGACAATATAATTGCAGTTCCACCTCGGCTCACCATTGAGAAGCCGACATTGTACGAGTCCAGCCCTGATTCTGTCCAGTTGTCCTGGCATCAAGCTCGTGTTCCCAAGGCAACCAGCTCCCTCTCCAGGACCACCTACAGAGTGGAGATGAGGCCTCAGGACTGTTTCGATTGGCGAGAGGCAGGATCCAGTATTGTCGGTACAACCTTCCATGTGAAGGACCTTCACCCCTTCCTGGACTATGCCTTCCGTGTCCGTGCAGTCAACGATTTTGGTTACAGTGAACCAACACTACCTGTTTTCCTTAACAGACCAATAGGTATGCATGAAAATAGGTTTATTCGGTTTTATTTCAAAATGGTCAAAATGAAATAATAAAGTTGTTAAAGCATGGTTGATATGCTGAAAGTCTATGAATGAAACATGCTTATTTGAGCTATTTTGATGAAAAGATTTTCATCTAATTTTGACCAGAGTTTTGTAGAAAAACACCACCTGGATTGTTAATTGTTACCATTGTTTTAAATGTGGTTGGTGCATTTGCTGTTATGGAAGTAATTTCATTCAAAGTTGTTATCTTTCTTTGTATTTGTTTAATACCAGGTCATTTGTGCATAGTGCAATGATGTTTTATTTCGATGAAAGTAATATGATCATATATATGATTTTCATTTCAAGCTGAGCTCTATGCACGGACAATGCCAGACTGTTATCTTATAGAATACTTGGGTGACCACTAGCATGACATTTCTGATGTAGGCTTGCTGAACAACAGTGTTTTACTGGGTAGATCAACTGTTTACCAGTAATGGCAAATATGCATTTAACATCAGAATTCTGCAAGGGGTGTTAGGATATTTTTATATCAGTTCCCAGTTTGGAACAAGGCTTGAAACACTAGTTTTAGTCAACAGCGGACAGTATGGTATGTGTGACAAGAAGTGTAGACACTATTGCTAGTATTTCTGGTTTGATGTGAGTTGCCTCCTTTGTTTCAGAGCACAGGATGTTTGGTGATGAAGATGATGATGAGGCGTTTGACTTCGGAAAACCAATGAGCGAAACTGGTGAGTTTTTTCATTACTACAAAATTGACTAAATAACACAAAAACATTCAGTTGAAGATATGTTTTGAAAGCACCTTCAGTAGGTTACATGCCTCTTTTTTATTCTTTAAAAGGGGATTTGTAGTTACACAAACTCTAAAGATCTCAAAGTACTGTTTGAAATTTGTATACAAGAAATTAACATAATGATCATATCCATTTTTCATTTTTCCAAATTTCAGGTTGACTCAATAACAAAAGATATAAAATGATATACAATATGATATACAACACTGAATTATCTGTAGAATGAGTTGAGTATTGAATCATACTTCAAAAGCAAATGGATGACTGACAAATAGGACCAATTATTCTTTCAGTGCCACCGAAACTTCCAATTGATACTCCGCGTCTGCTCACCTTGAGCCCCGAGTCCGTGCGCATGTCCTGGATGCCAGCCAGAATCCCAGTGTATGCCAAGTCTACACCCATCACCTACACCATTGAGGTCAAGGACACTCCATCTGGGCAATGGAGGGACCTGATTGGTGGAATCAGTGACATGAGTCATGAGATTGGTGACCTGATACCTTCTCAGGACTATCACTTCCGTGTGAGGGCAGAGAATGAGTATGGAGTCAGTGAACCTACCTTCCATGCAGCGCTGTCAAGAGCTAAAGGTAGGGTGGTATTCTTTATGGGTTAATCCTCTGTGAATGCTTAATGGAATGAGGATGTCAAAATGTGACTGCTTTTGTTTGTTGTTTAATGGTGCACTCAGCAATATTCCAGCTATATGGCAGAGGTCTTTAAATGATCAAATCTGGACCAGACAATCCAGTGATATCAGCAGCATGAGCATTGATCTAAGCAATTAAGATATGATGACATGTGTCAACCAAAGACCACCCACTCCTGATAGTCGCCTATTACGACAAGCATTCGGTGCTGAAGACCAGTTCTAACCCAGATCTTCAGGGGTGTGTGACTGATTGTATGTTTATTGCTGCTCAACATTATTTACAGTTTGCCATATAGCTGGAATATTGCTTAGGGTTGTGTTACATGATAAACAAAATACCAGGACAACAAGCAACCTGAGCTTGTCGTAGGAGACAGTTGTAATGGATTAGGCTTGGTGACATGGTAATTGCATATCATATCCCAAATACATGAATAGATGCTCACTGGATTATCTGGTTCAGACGGTATTGTTTACAGCCTCAATGGTAAAACTCAGTGTCACATTACAAGCATTGTATACTCGTTACTGTATCTGTCTAGCATCCCTATCAGGTAGAATTTTAGAGATCGGGTATGTATTGTGCAGTTTCATAGGCTACATACAGTAACACATTCTCTAGCTTCTGTTGGATCTGTGAAGATCCGGGTTAGAATATTGATCTTCAGTAACCCATGCTTGTCGTAAGAGGCGACTAACGGGAGAGGGTTGTCAGGCTCACTGACTGGGTTGACACATGTCATTGTATCCCAATTGTGTAGATCCATGTTCATGCTGTTGATCCCTGGATTGTTTGGTCCAGATCCTATTATTTACAGACTGCTGCCATATATATGAAATATTGCTGAGTGTGGCGTAAAACTAAACTCGCTTACTCACTAGCTTCTGTTTTTTAACTGTGTAACTTTATTTTCAAACTCTTTGCTATAAAAGTATTCTGAATTTTAAACACAAATGAGTATTACCACCAGGATATTTCATGCTAAAGCGTGTGTAATCTTATGAGATTATCATATCAGTACAAATGTTTTTATTTGATCCTTTAAGCCATTGAGAAGAGACGCCCATCAGTTGAACGCTCAGATGATGGAATATTGTCATCAAAGACGCCATCCTACATTGACAGTCTCATGTCTGGAGGTATGTATGCCTTGAATCTATGCACATTCATGCTCAGTGATTGATATGGCGTAACCTTGCTTTTCAAAGACTGACAAAATTCAGTTGTTTACAAAACTTGAGAAATAAAGTTCAAAGGTCAGTTTCATAGGAGATAATGTTAAAAAGTACTCTGCTTGGAAATTGAATTTTCCATCCTTACCTCTGTGCACAAAATGCTAATGGGCACTGACAAGATCAAGTGATATTATGAAGAGTAAGTCAATGAAAAATGTCATGTGACCATGTTACTGACCTTTAACCTTCAGTACCGCCAAGGACACCTTCTGGCCGACCTGCCATCAGTAACCAGACTGAGGATCGTCTTCTCTTGACCTGGCAACCTGCAAGGATGCCTTCCTACCTGCGCCAGACGAAGGTCAGCTATATTGTAGAGCAACGGGAACCACCAAATCATTTATGGTCTGTCATTGCTGAAGATGTCCCTGAAACATCCTACACAGTGCGTGACCTTGACCCTGAACAGGACTACATGTTCCGAGTGAGAGGTCAGAACGAGTTTGGCACCAGTGACCCAACTCTGCCATCATCTCTAACAAGAGAAAGAGGTAGGTGACTCAGTGTTGGCTTAATTATCAATCTAGTTGTCAACATAATCGGATATAGATTCAAAGTTAAAATATATCCAGGTAAACATGTATGATTTATCATATTGCATGGCATATAAAGTGGTAACACTGATTACGCAGACAGGAAATCTGGAATGTTTTACCTTATAACATACCTTGCTGACACAAACTTAATCATTTTGACTTATCACTTCTGACAATGGAACTGTATGGTTTTGGTAGAATCTGTATTATTACCTCATTGGTGCTTCAAACCATGAGACTTGCAATGTTGCAATATCTGTTCCTTTAAAGTGGAGCTATCTTCTTACACTGTGATTATGCCAATACCAAGGCTTTGCTCATTAAAAAAGTGAATCAATGCCTGTAAATGGATATTCTTCCTCCCACAGAGGACCCTAATGCTCGTGGAATATCGTGGGCGCTCCAGTTCTAGGGCTCGCAGTGTCAGTCCTTCAGCTCACCGCAGAATGTCTCTCACACAAAAAGACGATGATCCTTTCTCAGAGGGAGTCCGTGAGTACACAGTCTATGTGATCAAAGAATTACTGCCATTTTGCCCAATGCTAGAGGACATACTGTATCATATGTACAAGAATCCATGAATTTCATGTATTGTAGTATATAGCAGGGTAATGTTATTTAGGGTTATGTTTGTTAGATCTGTTCTTATTTTCTGCTGCTTCATAATGATAATAATGAATTTAATTACCTCTGCGTTCCATCATTAAAATAATCAGTAACCTGTTCAAAATTCACAAATGTAACAATTATTAATATGAAACTGTAGACATCATACTTTGTCATGATTGAAAAACAGACCAAATATTAATTCAGGCACTGGTTGCTATAATTCTATTTATTTATTTATTTACAGCCATTGCTCCTGATTTCATCCTGCCCAAAGAGAGCAAGCAGTATGGGGTGGAAGGTGGAACAGCCAAGATCATCCTGCAGTTACGTGGTAACCCCCTCCCTGTCATCATGTGGTTTTTCAATGATGAGAAGATCATCTATGGTGACCGCTACAACTCCTACATTTCCCCCAGTGGTCAGGTTGTCCTGGAGTTCACAGACATGGGCTACCCTGATGTTGGACTTTACAAATGTGTGGCCCGAGAATGACCATGGAATAGCTGACAAGGTCACACATCTTGAGATGGCAGGTAAGACATGACAATTTTCAATAGTCAACTTTCCCTTCATGTCAAACAATATTCCATCAGCTCCAGCCTTTCATGTTAACATTTCACAACTTTTGAGGTATAGTCAAGCATGCTTTTTTTACCAAGATTTCAATGAAAATCATATGAATTACTCAGAAATTGGGGCGGTGGGGTAGCCTAGTGGTTAAAGCGTTCATTCGTCATGCAAAAGACCCGGGTTCGATTCCCCACATGGGTACAATGTGTGAAGCCCATTTCTGGTGTCCCCCGCCGTGATTCGCCGTGATATTGCTGGAATATTGCTAAAAGCGGTGTAAAACCAATTCACTCACTCACTACTCAGAAATTGTTGGACCAAGGTTACAATATTAAGGGTCTCAATAAAGCTTTGAAAAGGTTTCAGGTAGACATGTTGAGGACATTTCAAAATTTTACGCATGAGTAACCAAAATGATGTCCTATGTATTCCCTAGTTTAACTTGTATCATATGTTCCCAAACTTATGTAGGCTAACAATTGACTTGCCTTTGCCTGTGTTTATGATGCGTGCCGCTAGTGGGGCAGGACATGCTTACCTTTTCATGAACACCTGCTATGATCACTATTTCATGCAGATTTATAGTCGAAATTTCATAATCGACTCTGCTATTGGCAGAGATTTCTTGTGGATGTGATAAGGGTTTAGTTACTTTCAATTAGTAGCAAGAGATGTAAGAATCTAAATGACAGAATATTGACAAGACATTCTACTTGCACATTCCAGATCCTCCAACCATTGTGGTGCCACTGAAGGAAACGACCTTCGTGGAAAGAGGCTCTGGCCAACTTCTATGTCGTATTGATGGTTATCCCGCCCCATCGGTCAAGTGGAGCAAGGACTGGCGCCCTCTGTCAGAGACATCCCGAATCTATGTGTCACATGAGAAGCCAGACACCTGGACGATGAACATCAACAACGTCATGTCGATGGACGAAGGCCAGTACATGGTGGTGGCTGAAAATGTTGCTGGGAAGGTGCACTGCTCTTGCAGGCTCACTGTGGAAGGTAACACATGTCGGAATTAGCAATTTGTGTATGGTTATGTTTGGTTGTTGTTTAATGCTGCACTCAGCAATTTTCCAGTTTTTTGACGGTTGTAAATAATAAAGTCTGAGACAATCCAGTGATCAACAGCAGGAGCATCATTCTATGCATTTGGGTACGATGACATGTGTCAACCAAGTCAGCAAGCCTGACCACCTGATCCCGTTATTCACCTCTTACGACAAGCATGAGTTACTGAAGGTTGATCTTCACAGGTACAGAGACTGTGTTTACATGATCTGACACCACAGTGATTTTCCTGTGTAACACTACATCGAGACTCCCCTTTCCTACTTACTAGTGGACTTCCAGTATGGAATGGGTGGTGTAGGTCGGCTGACTTCACCGCTTGGGTCGGAGGCACCATTTCCACTATCAGTAGTTTGAACTTTCCACATTTTAATGGAACAAACCATTTATATTATTTTTCAGCAGTGAATATTTTCTTGGTCCACTCCATTCTGACATTCTTAGCTATGAATAATGTCTTGTATTGTTATCATTATTCTTTTCCTCCCAAACTTAAGATCTCTTTCAGGAATGAATCCCTTGTGAATTGTTTTCAAATAGTTGGCATCCTAAAGACAAGATTTAAGCAGACGACATATTCTCTTAAAAAGGGTAATGATTTGATGGTTCCTGTTGACAGATGTCATGCCAACCAGGAGTACCACGGATTTCAAAGACACATCCAACATTGAGGATGATTACTATGTCCTGGAAGAGCTTGGCAGGTAAGACACATCCATTGTACTAGGGCTGTAAGGACTGACTGACTGAGGTTGGTTTTACGCCGGCTTTAGCAATATTCCAGCTACATCACGGCGGGGAACACCAGAAATGGGCTTCTCACATTGTACCAATGTGGGGATTCGAACCCGGGTCTTCGGATTGACGAGCCAACGCTTTAACCACTAGGCTACCCCACCGCCCCAAGGCTGTAAGGATTCACTCCTGAATCTAACTGTAAACTTTCATGAATTCAATGTATTATTCATGATCCCTAGAATAGCATATTCATGAATATTTTTATACATGAGTTTATTTACTTAAACGTGGGTGTTATTTATCACTGGTCATTGTCATGATAAACTACCACTCTAAACACTGTCAAAACATATCAAATAATATATGTTATTGTTTCACTTAATATACAGAGAATCTCACCAAGTGTCTACTGATACCAATTATATCAACATGAGTTGAAAAGTTACAGATATCCAGGGATATTTTTACTTTAATCAATGAGTATTGATATAATTGATATCAGTAGACACAAGGGTGAGATTCTTTTAATCATCAAAAATCTCTCATTAGTTTTTCAAGAAAAATGTACATCTCTGAACATGGTACTACCATTAGACTTGCAGTGTAGTGACATCATAGCATTATGACATCATCAAGTTCATGATGTCATAGCATTGTCACAAGCAATATCTCCTGTGGAACACAGTTTTGGATGATAAAATGAATAATACATCAACTGCTACGTTGTTATTTTACTAGTTTCCCAATATTTGTATTTGTTACCCAATATATGTGATATGTATCATATTTGACTGATGGCGGATTTGTTGCAACCCTAATACATACAGATATATTAATTAATAGAAGGGATACTCCCATATCTGAATCTCCCAGCTGGATAACAATAGCAGATTTGTATACTGCAGAGTTTACAGTGGCACCAGCTTTTTATAATACAAGGTACTAATACAATTATTACTGTGTATTTCACTAGTATATAGTACTAACTGGTTAATCTCACATCCAGAGGTCGTCATGGCGTCGTGCATAGAGTCATTGAGAAATCAACCGGCAACGTGTATGCTGCCAAGTTTGTGCGAGTGCGTGATGACACCGAGAAGGATTTCTTCAGGACAGAACTTGAAACATCGAGGATGGTAGACCACAAAAACATCCTATCGCTTCATGATGCATATGAAACACCCAAGAAACTCATCATGGTCAATGAACTGTATCCTCAACAGAGAACATTCGTCATATTTTGCATTTTATCTTCACCCAAAGGACCACTCTTTTATGGCTGAGAGGAGGGTGGGGATGGGGTTGAGGGGGTGATGACGATTTTAAGGGGGGGTCATCAATTTTGTGCACATGTACTAGGGGGGGGTGCATGCTTCTCCATAAAATCATCATCATCACCCCCATAGCCATAAATTATGAATGGTCCCTAACTAAAAATTTGTTTCAATGTATCAGAATAATGTCATATGACGTCTTTGTCACTACCCATCCCCTTTCAGTGAATTCAGTGATTTCACATTATTGATGAAGCCCGTGAAGAGGGGTAGGGTGCTCACATATCAAGGATTATGAGTAGGGACATTTTGACAATGTAACTTAACTGTGGATAACTTTAATCATTTGTAGGATGTACAAAAAGTAAATAGTCCTGATTTCCATAATGATCACAGCTGTTTTCATCTGAAGAAGAGAGTGATCAATTTTAATTATGCTATTTGCTGCAACTGCTAAGATAGCTGTAAAACATACATGCACTTGTTGACCTTAACCTCTGCCAGATTGAAAGGCGGATCTCTTCTAGACCGCATCATTAAATCAGGAAGTCTGTCTGAAAATGGAGCTGCCTTCTACATCAGAAAGCTGCTGGGAGGCCTTAAAGAACTTCACAAATTGAACATTGTACACATGGACATCAAGGTGAGGAGGGGAAGGCCACATCTGACTGCATTTCATATCCTCTCAGATATCTGTGGCTCATGTTGTTGAAATATAAATGACTAAATCAGAGGGTATCTAGGATTCAAACCCATGATTATTGGTTTCTGACACATCTGGGTTATGTAACCGTGCGCATTGATGCATCTCAATAACATGGTAGTTGGATGGGAGACAACCAAAAGGACATGTCTCAGGTGAGATCTGAGATCGCATGCTATTGGTTTAAACAGTATTTATTTGAAATAAAGACAGTACATTAGAAAGACAATACAGAACAAACAAAAAGGTTTGGCAAACAGGCTGAACAAGGCCCATATTAATGCCTCTCTCGCTATCGTACCACAGTGAAATGGATTATTGATAAAGAAAGGTGTCCTGTTTACAGGTTTTCAGACTCTTAAGAACATCCTTGTTTTCTTGATTATCACATGAATAATTGTAAAACATGTCTCTTACTTATTAAGGACATATTTATCTTAAACATATGCCATCATCAAGGTATTTAAAAAGTCTGTGTGAGAGAACCTACCTTGTTATAGCAACAGTAAAGACTGCCATCCGAAAACGAATGACGCTTACATCTTCAATAAGATGTAATCTGACTATGACCCCATTATAATATCATGCATGTTAACCCAGTAGACCCATTACTTTATGTGCAGCCAACCAACCTGATGTTCCCAAGCCCAGACTCGGATGAGCTCCGGTTGATTGATTTCGGCTTTGCAAAGAAACTTATTCACACCAAGGATGTTCTGTTCAACTTCGGTACACCTGAACATGCCTCCCCAGAGCAGATTGACCATGAACCGGTCACTCTGCCTAGCGACATGTGGTCAGTCGGTGTACTCACCTACATACTGTAAGTACCTCCAGTGTTGCTTCACCATAGACTGAATATACAGAACAGTTTATCAGTGATCCTTAAATACAATATTACACACAATTATGAAGGCTTTTCTAAGGTCGTAGATATGTTTTCACTTCAGTGGAGATAAAAAAGAAGATCTTGTAATTGTTGATATACCTCTGTGGGGAAAGTGGGTTGGAATAGGTCCCTTGGCAGATGTCATCTTCTGGAGTATCAATGATTAATTGGGACACATTCTAGATTTGTTCTTATGTGAAAATTCCCACATATTCCCTGAACTGGATTGCTAAAGTAAGGAATTATGTAGCCATGTATGATAATATGATTCTGAAAAAAAAAGTTCAAAGAGGTATCATTTCAAAGTAATACCCACCATTTTACAGGCTGAGTGGTGTGTCTCCTTTCCATGACAACACTATCAGAGATTCCCTCATCAAGACTGTAGACTGCGACTGGGAGTTTGACACTGCCTTCAGCAAAATCTCTGCAGATGCCAAGGACTTCATCTCCAAACTCCTTGTCCTTGACCCAACGTAAGTAAAGTGATTCCATGTGCAGTATAAACTTCGTTTGTGAGTGTGTTGTTGTGGCTTGTCATTACAGCTTCATGTGCACCTCCCATTTCTGGTGTCCCCCGCTGTCATATTGCAGGAATATTGCAAAAAGCAGCGTAAATACCAATTCACTCACTCACTCATGTGCACCTTTTGCGAATTACTGACAGGTCTCCTGTGCTCCATGTTGTTAATTGGGTTAGGGTGATGATGATACCTGCTTTGGATGAATAGTGCTTGGAAAGACTTACCTCAAGAAGTCCTACACTTAGTGATCTGTCCCAGTGTCAATGTGACCTGAAACCGTTCATTCTATCATTATTTTGTTGTTATATAAAGCTGTAAGTTTGCTGACTGAATGATGCACATCTTGTCTTGTTTATTAACTCTAAAGAAACTGTTGACACACCTAGTTAACAAAGAAATATACAATACATTATTTCATCAATTGCTAACATATGTAAACTAAATGTTTCTTAAAAGTCCAAGCTGAAAACTAAACACAGCCATAGATGTAACAGTGAATGAATCCTGAAGCTGGCAGACACAACAGATGAGGTTGTGAAGCATGCACGTTTTGAACAGTCTGGTATAATTTCCTTTCCAGGCAACGCTTGACAGTTGACGAGTGCTTGGAACACTCTTGGCTGAAGAACACAACTGACCGAAACGGAGGTGCCAAAATTGATGTTGGGAAACTCAAAACTTACCAAGCTCAGGCACGCCAGGTAGATAAGTGTGGAGGGAAAATGTGATCCATTGATAAACTTTTGGATGAAGTGAAACATGGTTTCAAGGAGAGTGTATAAACAATACCACCACAAGGTCATTTGATTAGATTTTCATCTGATATTAGTTTTGTGAGTAGAATTGATGAGGTCCACCTGTCAGTGTGTACATTGTTTCCTTGTCCCCAGTCTGGTGAACCTCCTATGAGGACTGTGGCAGACCTGTGCAGTCTGAGCAAGTTGTTGGAGGGAACTCCCCGCCATGGAGGTCTCCATCCAGAGGTCGACTCGGCCACAGGCAAGATCTCATTCCCAGGGTCAGAGGCATATGGAGAGTTCCTTGATAACGAGTCATGGTGAGAGAAACACACTCAGGTTCTATGAACAATGGGAAAGAATCCATTTAATAGATTTCTTTCCATTACATGAAGTCATGCAGTTTATGCCTATCAATGTTTTCTTTGATATGAATTGCTGGTTGTCATTTCTTGAAATATTTCAGGTTGATTTCACTTTGTTGTTGGACAATTTCAAGCGTCAAATTTTAGTTCTAGTGATAATTATGATGTGTTTGGTTTCTCAATGAAAGAAATTACCTTCTGTGTTCCTGAAAAAATAAATAAAAGGTATTAAGCATCCCAATGAAGACACGATGTAAGCATTATCAAATGCAGATGTCAGAGAAATTCCTGGTACAAAACCAGGCACATTTGGCCAGTAATGAAAACCAAACACTGTCTCCCAAAGTAATACTATTATTTTCCTGTGCTAGGTATGACTGGCAGCTGCGTTACCAGCCTGGCCATGAGTCCGAGCTCTACCCAACAAAGGACACTGATTACTCTCTGCGAGTCCGTGGTTACCGGCGCCAGGCTGGAGAACCTGATGACAGCTTTGAGCTTGAAGATGAAGTCTATGGGGATGATGATTACTCTGCGAGGGCACCTACTGTCCGGGAGCGCCGCTTGTTGTCCGATGTTGACAAGGAGACGCTGCCTCCTTCCCTGGAAAAGGAAATGGCATGGATTGCGGACATGCGAGAGAAGAGACCAAAAGATACTGATGAGATGAGCATTGCTTCCAAGCGATCATCCCTCGGATCTGTTTCCACAGAAGGTACTTGAAACTCTTCATTTTATTTTCCAGGGCAGACCTGCAGAAATTAATCTTTAATAAAAAAAACAGTTTAAGTCTGTATGTTACAAAATACATGTGTAACATTAGTCTAGGTGAGATTGGTTGCCAAGGACAAATGACACTCAGCAATCTGATAAAATTCATGTAAGATCAGTACCTGTGCATAAATGTGGCAAGCACTCCATAGGGTCAAAGATGAACTTTCTATCATTCCTAAAGAAGGAATAAATACTCAATTCGTGAATATCATTTCACGCTGAGAAAACTAACCAGCAATATATTTAAAGTTCAATGTAGCTATCTCCACAATGAAAAATAATTTTGTGTTTGCAGGGTTCCCTGGTCCAACATTCAAGGCCAAGCTAGAGGACATGGCTGTCGGAGTAGGGGAGACAATCACGCTGTGTTGTCACATGATGGGGCCACCCATGCCGACAGTAGCCTGGTATCGCAACGAGGAACTTCTCTCAGATGGTACCCGAACAAAGATTGGCGTGTGTGGCGATGGTCGAGCTTACCTCACACTCTGCAATGTGAAGGAGTATGACACAGGCATATACAAGTGTGTTGCCCGGAACAAATATGGCCGCTCCTCATGTCGTTGCAGACTGATGATTGGAGGTGAGAGAAGCCAAAAACATACTAGAAATACTTGAAGTTGGTCAGTCAGTTAGAGATATCAAATCTAATTTAACATCATGGAGTTTAAGGAAGAGCATGAGTCTGACAGCATGGGAAACACAGATGTTTTTGTCCAGAATGGCACTTCTTAGTAATGTGAAGTCTTTGTGTTGAATACTTTTAACTACAAACACATACAATTACATCTTAATGCTGTATGACAAATCAGTATTTATGTTTCAAAGGGTATATTTAAATATTATACATGTGAAATGGTGGTAAGAATACTTTCAAGATTTATGTCCAACATCAAACACATTTTTTAACTGCTTAAACAAGTAAATAGATGTAACAGCAAGAAACGTAACTCTTTCTATAATCCTAGACAAATCCTTGTGTTCTACATTAGTCTGGTTTCAAAGATTCCTCTGTACTCAGTATGAACTTTCAAATACAAGGTGTTAAAAGTTAAAATGTCTGACTGATATGTATGTAATTCGAACACAGCTGTGTCCTTGACTGAGATGTCAATGGTTATAAGCTACAGATAGTTAAACTACAGCATGTGTCTTTCCTACAGAGCCCCCTGAGAGGCCAGGTCATCCAGTGGTAACCCAGACCTCCTCTGATGAGGCATTTGTCATCTGGACGTCACCCAAGTCTTATGGAAACTCAGACATTCTCTACTACAGGATTGATTACAAGAAACCAGGTGAGACATAGCACTACCAGTAAACTGAATCACACACCAGTGAGTCAATACTCAACCACTAGGCTACCTTACTCTTGCATCTCTTTAATAATGTTGGCTCCTTCAGTGGGACATGATCAAGGATGACGTGACACATGTCTGGAGATCATGTTTGGAGACAAACTTGGAATATGTGTACCGAGTAGATGTTGGTATTCTACATCTGGATTTAAAGATTGGTTCAGCAAATCTAGCTAGATATTATTGTAACAATATTATTTCACATTCATTGAGCACTACTTGTTTACCAATGGCCACGCAGCTATTATGTCAAAGACTCCACTGGTTTGTATCAGAGGACCTTGCTGTAATTAGAGTTACTTTATACTGAGATTAAGCTAATTTTTCTGGCCGTTGTTTCAACCAACATTAGTCTGCTGCATTACTCATAGTCCTCCATGGTAATGATGAGATTATTTAAATGTGTTAACTGTCGCTGACAATTAAATTATTATCTGTAGGTGCAGAGAAATGGAAGACTGCTGCCAAGGTGACCACAGAGTGTGCCATTGCAACAGGTTTGGCACCAGACACACCCTACAGGTTCCGTGTGTGTGCAGTGAATGAGTTTGGGCCCAGTCCTTACAGCTGGGGGTCTGTGGAAGTCACAAGCAAACCTGCAGGTACGCAACTGTTTGGTGTTTGGGTGATTGTGGGGTGAGGATAAGTTGTCACAGAGCTTTTCGAGATGGAGTTAGACAGGTGAATCTGGTGCATATAATTAGTTACATGCTTTTCGATCGCACGAAATACGGATTCAACCAGGCCATACTATACTTTATTACCCATATGGGAAAGAGGACATGGGGTAGTATATTTCCAGGAAGTCCCTAGGGAGGTTACACCTTTTGGTTGAACATTGCTGTTTCAGAAATAAAACAGCCAATCAATGCGTTTCATTCATTGAAGAGGGATATGGGGATTCCCCACATCATGGGGTTTCTTAGAGAATGCTGTTTTCATGTTTGTATTTTTTAGATTGTAAACAGATATGGGTAATAAAAACAATAACCAACTCGTGACAGGGTATGACAGATTATCTTTCCCTTGTTATATTCATGATGTAATTGATATAACCAATGATAACTCGGTAAAGATAATCTGTCATTCCCCGTCACTTGTTAGTTACTGTCTAAATACTACATGGCAAATGTTCATGTTTCCAATTTATTACACTTAAGATATTTTAGGTGTGTTTTGTGTGGTTTCCAGAACCATTTTCTCCATTTCTCTTATATTCTGCCCCAGTATGGGATGCAAAGTATTTCACCATGATTGTTGTTGCAGACGGATATTTTGAAGAGACATAACTTTCATAGGCTTAAATGCTATGTTGTTGAGAATTGTTATTTCAAATAATAATATATTTAGGATATATCTTTAGTTCTATCTATTTCCTCTTCACAGATAAAATGAATAGCATATTCTCAAAACATTTGATAATTTTATTTTCGTGATGTTAATAGTTGAATTCTCCAATTGAAATGAATTTCAATGTCAAAGGTCACAAACTGTCAACGTTGTCCAAACCAACTGTTGGAGCAGTGTGAAATGGAATCATACCATCAGTGAAACGTTATGGTGCAGTCTATTAGCTATCTAAAGTCCTCTAATTTATTTAAAGGGTAATATAGGGATATACAAGGTGGGCTTGATGTACATGGGTGATACTAGTGTTTGGAGAAATGGAGATGCAGGTAGACGGTTCAAACTAGTGCACACAGAAATGTATTGGTGTAGGTAACTGATCGAAAAAGAGATATGTTAGGTTTGAATAATACTTACTCCATCATCCTCTGTAATAGGTGCACCTGCTATTACCTCTGATCCCGAATATCAACTACGGTTATTGCGACTGCGTCAGGCTGTTCCACCAGAACCACCAGCAAGTCGATGGGAAGTTAGTGAAGTGGAGGAGGTTGAGACTGAAGCTGAGCTGAAGAAGACCAAACCAGAAGATGTGTACAACCTCGGAGACACACTCTGGAAGTCAGTGTTGGACTCATTTTTTTCTGTTTCAAAGTGGTGTTTAAAAGAATATGCTTTATTATGCTTAATAAATGTGGTTGGTCTTTGCAAATTATATCAATCTCTCATGAAAGTTTCAAAATTGAAAGAAGACTAACATTTTTCTTGCATTTTCCCCAAATCAGGATATGCATCTACTTATTATACATGAGGGGCGGTGGTGTAGCCTAGTGGTTAAGGCGTTCGCTCGTCACGCTGAAGACCCTGGTCCGATTCCCCATATTGTGTGTAGCCGAGTTCTGGTGTTCCCCGCCGTGATATTGCTGGAATATTGCTAAAAGCAGCGTCAAACTAAAACTCACTCACTCTCTACTATACATGATTCTAGAGTTAGAGAGTAAACTGGGTTTAATGCTGCTGTGAACAATATCAAAGTTATATCACGGCATGTCAGCTTGATGCGGAAGGAAAGCCAGATGTTTACTGTTTTCTTGAATGCCACAAGCACAGGTATTGTGCTGATAAACCTAAAACATATAATTGGGGTGAACGGGGATGCGATTGTAGGTTCTGGCACACCCAAGGGACACAACTTCCCACATAGAACTGCTGTGCCTTAGACAACTGGGCCACATGTGTTCCCTGTGATTCTTGAATCAAGCCAGTATTAGATACTGAAACTTTAATGGGAACAAAATTTAACATTGAACACTAAATGTCCAGAAAAGCATGTACTTGTGATGTGAGAACCAATAGTAATATTGGTTTGAAGAATTTGTATTAGCAATGGAATTAAGTGTGATGCTTTTGTTCTTCACAGGGGCAAGTTCTCGCAGTACATAACCTGCAATAATGTTGCAACAGAAAAGGATCATATAATGCGAGTGGTACCTCTAACAAAAGACAATGAAAGTGACAGGTTACGTGAGTTTAACATTCTCAAAGGCATCCAACACAACCATGTCGGACAACTTTTGGAAGGATTCCAAACAAGCACAGACTTTTACCTGGTGTTGGAGAAAATGACCGGGGACAATATTGCTCGTTACCTTGGTTACAGACGAAGATACAGCGAGGATGCTGTTGTGTGTGTTTTACGGCAAGTGATTGATGCCTTACAGTTCTTGCATCGTCATGGCTATGCCCATCTGAATCTTCAGCCTGGGAGCATCATCATGGCCAACAGACAGAGTCTCAACATCAAGTTGGTTGATTTCAGTCTTGTAAGAAAGATCTCACCAGAGGGAGAGGCTGTGCCAAGAATGGGCTACCCTGATTTCATGCGTAAGTAATTGAATGTGAATATTTCTTAGTGAGACCAGATCTCAAACAAATGGATTGCCATGAGAATTGAAGTTTTGTTTCCAAGTTTTGTTAGCTACCAGGGCGACAGTATTTATCTCCCAAGAAAGATAATAATGTGAGGAATTATGTAATTGTTCTTGTTTCAAGAGAAATTAGTTTACAAAATCAATTAGACTGTAAACTGCAATCAGCAAAATAATAGAATTAATAATGGAATAATTTTATTGACAAAATATTTTAAGCTTAGAAGCCTTACTGTAAGTCACTGTGGTTCTCATTTTTTTGAAGTGTATGTAAAACCCTGGTCATTCACTTTTTACCTTTTCACTTTCAGCTCCTGAGGTTGTTGCCCAAGAGGGTGTAGGCTGCTCTGCTGACCTGTGGGGACTGGGTGTCCTTGCCTTCCTTCTGTGAGTACTGACTGGTCACCCCACCAGGGACTCATAAGGAGTCACTGTACAGTAAACATGTAGATGTTCCCAACTAAATCGCCTGGAGTGAGTGAGTGATGGTGTGAGTGAGTGATGGAGTGAGTGAGGGATGGAGTGAGTGAGGGAGGAGTGAGTGAGTAATGGAGTGAGTGAGTGATGAGTGAGAGTAATGGAGTGGGTGAGGGATGGAGTGAGGGAGGGAGGAGTGAGTGAGTGATGGAGTGAGTGAAGGATGGAGTGAGTGAAGGATGGAGTGAGTGAGGAATGGAGTGAGTGAAGGATGGAGTGAGTGATGAATGGAGTGAGTGAGGAGGAGTGAGTGAGGAGTGAGTGATGTGAGTGAGTGAGTGATGGAGTGAGGGAGGAGGATGGAGTGAGTGAAGGATGGAGTGAGATGGAGGAGGAAGGAATGGAGTGAGTGATGGATGGAGGTGAGTGAGGGATGGAGTGAGTGAAGGATGGAGGAGTGAGGGAGGAGGAGTGAGTGATGGAGTGAGGGAGGAAGGAGTGAGTGATGGAGTGGTGAGGGAGAGTGAGTGATGGAGTGAGTGAGTGATGGAGTGAGTGAAGGATGGATGGAGTGAGTGATGGAGGAGGAGGAGTGAGTGATGGAGTGAGTGAGTGATGGAGTGATGAGGAGGATGGAGGATGAGTGAAGTGAGGAGTGAGTGAGGGATGGAGTGAGTGAGGAGGAGTGAGTGATGGAGTGAGTGATGGAGTGAGTGATGGAGTGAGTGAGGGATGGAGTGAGTGAAGGATGGACTGAGTGAGGGAGGAGCGAGTGAAGGAGGAACACCACTTTGTGTTGTGTCAGCTTGATGTGGGGGGAAAGCCTGAAGTGATTCAGGTCTTAGATGTTTATCATTTTCTTGAAACTCACAAGCAACGGCGTAGTGGTGACAAACCTAGAAAGACAATCTGGTGAAGCTGGCCTATGTAGGTGTCACGGGACATAGGGACTCAGTCCTGTTCATCTAATTGTGGTGACAAGGCCACCTATGCCCCAGATCACCTGGACGTTTTCAGACTAGTGAGGTTTTCCTGAACTGTATCATTACTTCTGGTCAAGAAAGCATATCACTCTTACATTGATTTTTAGTCGAGGGTGAAATTATGATCAGTGCTCAATGATATTGTTCAAATAGTCAGGTGTTGTCACAGTAAATCTCTCAAGATTGAAAGGTTTTTATAAGCTGAAAATATATGTTCCTGAATGGTATCACAAAGTGTCATTTTACGGAGAGGCACACACGACCTGACCTCTATGTTACCTTGTGTTTCAGGCTGAGTGGGGAGTCCCCCTTCTCTGCAGACACAGATGATGAGACACTCGCCAACATTGCATACAACAGATATAATGCTAATGACATCTATGAAAATGTCTCAAAGGAAGGACTAAAGTTTATCTTCAAACTCCTCAAGCGTATCCCAAGGTGAGTCTTGTTTAACACACAGACCCTTCAAAAGATAAACCTCATTGGAAATATGACATCCTCAGAAGTATGGTATGTTATTAGATTGATCATCTTATCATAGGGGATGGTATGTAAGAAATGTTTGATGCACTTATGGACACCAAAAATGGCCCTCCCCTCATGCTTATCATATTTTGGATGATCCACCCAATGTCCTCAAATATGTGTATGATTCTTTATGGCCCAGTAACTCTCCCTCGATTGACTGCTGCCTCCTAATCCCTTATAATGCAGGACCAGTAACTCTCCCTCGATTGACTGCTGCCTCCTAATCCCTTATAATGCAGGACCAGTAACTCTCCCTCGATTGACTGCTGCCTCCTAATCCCTTATAATGCAGGACCAGTAACTCTCCCTCGATTGACTGCTGCCTCCTAATCCCTTATAATGCAGGACCAGTAACTCTCCCTCGATTGACTGCTGCCTCCTAATCCCTTATAATGCAGGACCAGTAACTCTCCCTCGATTGACTGCTGCCTCCTAATCTCTTATAATGCAGGACCAGTCCCTTAGAACACAGAATGGGACAGATTGTAATCGGCCATGTTCTGTCATTTGTAGAACTGCAGTACTAAGGCTACTATTGCCATATTCTGCCTGTGCAATAATCAGAAAGTAACCAATGACATACAAGAAATGACAGATGAACTGCCCAAGGAAATGGATGTTGCTGTCCTTGTGTGCAAGCAGATCTGTTCTGTTTCAGGAACCGCCCAAGTCTGGCTGACTGCCTGGACATGAAGTGGATGCTGCAGACAGATTCCATCATCAAGTCACGAAGTGAAACATGGTTCCCGACAAACAAGATCCGCACATTTGCTGATCAATATGACAAACGAAGAATGGCTGATGACTTCAGACTGGATTACACAAAGGTTGAGCTGACCACCAAAAAACCTGTAGAAAGCAAGCGTGTGCGCAAGGAGCGAAAACCTGCTGCTGAACCTGATCAGTCAGTAACTGAGAGCAAAAAGAAATTTGCACCTAAGGTTGTAAAGGAATTGGAGGCTGAACCTGACAGTGAAGCTGGGGCAGGTGAAAGTGAGGCTGCTAAGTCTGAGACTACAGAAGAGAAGATAGAACAAGTTGCTGATGATGTGGTGTCCAAGGCTCTTGATGAGGCCATGCAGTCGTCGGAGTTAAGCAGTGCATGATGTGCACAACATGTAAGTGGTTTAAAACACAGTACAGTTATTCAGGATGGAACAAATACCACATTCTTTGCTTGATATGATCATTCATTTATTTTGTAAATTGTTCTGTTTGTTTAAAAAATCACTCCAGTACGTATACAGAAACATGTTCTGAGAGGAAGTGAGTGTGTGAGCATGGTTTTAAGCCATTTTTTAACAATACTCCAGCAATATCATGGCAGTGGAAACCAGATATTTGCATCACACATTGTAACCATGTTGTGAACTGATCTTAGAAAGGTATTTTATTCACTGAATTCTGAAATAATTTTGTCACTGTGCAGCATTGCTATTTGTTAGCAACTAGTGAATACAAATGACCATTGCAGCATGATATACCCCGTAAGAAATTGATAATGAAACTGGATAGTTCTGTTACATATTTACTATAATGAAGACACCATCTTGGATCTGCACAAACACCACCAATGCTTGTATGAGTATCAGACTTAGGTTCTGCTTACCTTAACAAACGTCTTATGTGTTCAACAAATTGAATAGAAGAAATACAATGAACTTTCTGAATTTTACTCATCTACTGTGACTACATAACCTAAGTGCTGGAGACTGGACTCAGTTGAAATGACTCCAGTACACAAAAGAAAGAAATGAGGTTTTCCTGGCTTGGCAAGCTGATGAGCTTGATGATGATTGGTGGTACTATTGTCTTGACAAGTAGTTGTGTGTAGTTGACAGGGGAGAGGACTTCATTTGAAATGTTCATTTGAGAGCAGCCAAAATACAGGATTTATGGTAATGAGTGAGTGAGTGAGTTGAGTTTTACGCCGCACTCAGCAATATTCCAGCTATGTGGCAGCGGTCTGTAAATAACTGAGTCTGGACCAGACAATCCAGTGATCAACAGCATGAGCCTCGACCTGTGCAATTGGGATACGATGACATGTGTCAACCAAGTCAGTGAGCCTGACCACCCGATTTTGTTAGTCGCCTCTTACGACAAGCATGGGTTTCTGAAGGTTCATTCTAACCTGGACCTTCATGGGTTTTTACGGTAGTGATGTAATAGATGCAGTATTCACAGAATTAATGACAAGATGTCTATTGTTCCTATGTTTATCAGTATTTAATATTCATTTCAGGTAGAAATTTGTACCAAGGACAGATGGAATGAAAGAAGAGCAGTGCCTCGTTGATGTGTATTTTTCGAAAATATTGAAAGACTTCAGTATATTTCTACCTATGTGATAACCAGTTGCCCTTCATCTAGATATTCCCGTTTGCCTGCAGTCAACTCAGTGAAATGTTATGAAATCATTGCTGGAATACCAATTCCAGAGTGTAAAACTGTAAGTTATATAAAGAGAAACTTGATGCTTCCCAGTCATATATGAAATACAATGGTTTAACTTGATTTAGTTTAGTTTAAGTTAAGCCGGGAGACAAATGTGTGTCCCTTAAACTGGGGTTAATGAGTGATCTTGACCTACCTTGTGTGGTGCTATTACTCAGATGTGTGAAGGATTGTGAAATGAGTCACTTTTTGTACAACCCTGGATCATACCTAGTGTACAGATTTTGAATATTTATTTTTGAAAGGGTCAGTTGCAATTTTCAGATTCTGAAGTGAATTTGAATTCTAATATGTGATATTTTAACATATTTGTTTTTGAATGCATTTTGTGATGCTTGACTATAAGTTATACAATGAACGACTTATGACACAATTTTATATTCAAGTGATTGGATTGCCCGGTACTTTCATGAATGCTCAGTGATTGGTGAACATATCAGTCATTGTGTAAGTCATACCAAAGAAGTGATGTGATTAAGGAAACTATTTTTTACTCTTTTAATGAATGTTGTAAGTGTAAATGATATATATTTGTGCATATTTTTTCTATGTAAAAAAGAAAACAGATGCATACTGGCATCAACTAATTTGCATCACAAACTGCCAGAGGATAAGTGACTATATCTTTTGGAAGAAAAAATAGTTCTCCATATTCACAGTATTTGAAAATGAGATTTGGGTGGTCCAATGTGTTATTTATTTATATCATAAATGTTTACATTTGTAGATGTTATATTTTGTCTTCATTGTACACAATTAATGATGGAGGAAGATCAAAGCGTTGTGAACAGTCACTGAGCATTCAGAAAGGACGGATGAATCTTGATGTGCAATATTTTCTGTTATATACTTTATCATATTATTACTCTCACATACAATGATTACATAAAAGTTTGCTGCAAAGGTTTACATATGTGTATTTGTTTATTTTTAGATGTAAACAGCTTATGGCATTGAGTTAACTTTGGTATGAGACAAGGGCAGGACTGTGTGGAGTGTTGATTTGGCACACACTGAGAACTGGTTAATGCAATATATAGATCTCACAGGACTCAAAGTGCAGTGCCTTGCCTTGCCCAAATTGTGTACAGAAGTCAAGAATATATGAGGGAGGGTTGCGATAAGGTTCCTGTGTGACTTGTTCAGCCAAGCTGAATAGAGTTTGTTTGCATTTTTTCAGAATATTTATTTGAAAATACGGAGCTCAATTTATGACAGCATGTTTAATGACCTGGCTCATTCAATGTCACTGATTTCACAAAGTTCTGCATTCTGGAGAGAATGCTTTTGGCAGGGAGAATACAAGAAAGGTCATCTTTCTGCTCCATTGCTTGTACTTTTCAAACATCTCTTTCTCTTTTTTTTTGTAAACGTAGATACTGAATTTGGATATTTACTGTAAAGAAAGTAATTATGAATTTTTCAAATACATTTTCTTTGCATTCATTACATTGATAGAACAGCGCATTTCCCATATGTTAAGAAATTTTGTGATTGAAATGTTTTCCTGTCTGCCAATCTGATCATGACAGCATTTATTGTGTGAAAATTCCCTTTTTGTTTAGACTTTTTACCCTTTGATTATCAGGAAGGGCAACTGTCAACTCCTCACTATATAGCTGAAATAAACCCTGTGATAATATCACTTTCTCTGTTATTACTGACTGTGGTAAGACCTGTTTCACCTGTGGGCTAAATCCAAAGCTGTAACAGTTTTGTATGATTCTGCAATTTCTTAATTCTGCTGGGAACATGCACACAGTTCAAAAGCTGATTCTGCATGATTCCAGAAAGTGCAAGAGAGATTTCTTATCAAATGTCTAGCTATAGACCAGCTACAGACCAGCCATATCACAACCACATCAGCAGCCTCAGTAATGGAACTGCACAGCACTGGATTATGGCATGATCTATGAACCAAATGATGGGGAATGATACAAAATTCCCCATGTCACAGTGACGTCACCTGATGATCATGAACAAGCTAATTCATGAAACCTGCCCGAACTGGTTTCTCCAGACCATCTCCGGATTACTTCTTATACTGTATAAAAGAAACACATAAAGAAACTGTGCACACAGAAAATATAATTAGAGGCACAAATCGTCTTTATACATAAATACAGGTGTAAAATAGCACGTATTGGAGACAATCAAACGCTCATGCACGTGCCAGGCGACGTCACATCATTGATGTTGGCCTGTGGACTTGCAATGTTTTACTTCACGTGCATCCTGTGCAGCTGCACGCAACATGTGAAACTCAGAAATTGCTGTCACTGTCGAAAGCTTGATCTTTTGTCATTCAAACGTTCACAAATTCACATGACAAGTCACATGCACATCATGACAAGATTAACATCTGCTCAACGTCATGAATCCACTGGAATGGTTCGAGCAGGAATGAGCCAAAAACAGGTGGCAGCACATTTCCAATGCTATCGTAACAGGATATCTGCATTGGTCAAACGCTATCGAAACAATAATGACGTCACCGACCACCCACGTTCTGGGCGTCCAGAGAAACGACGCCAAGACAGGACAGATGGATTCGGGTGACTCATCTCAGACGCAGGTTCCAGACGGCAGTGACCACGTCCCAGACCATTCCCCAGCCCTTCAATGCTCCTTTGGTAGCCCCTATGCGTCATCGATGCACCTCTGTGCTTCACGCACATGGTGGTCATACCAGTTATTGACTTTGTGACTTCGTCTTGTGACCCCTACTCGATTTTGAGCTTCTGACGTCATCGTTACGGATATTGTTCAGGTTCTTCTGACATTTTGTTGTGGTCCGATACTTCAGCTTATAAGGTGTCTACATCATTTCGTCCTTTCTGTGTTGTATTCCAATTCTGAAGGAATTTTCTGTGTGCACAGTTTCTTTATGTGGCTAGTATATATCAAAGGTTAGAAGTTATTGTGACACACAAATAGAAACAGTGATAAACTTTACCTTCTGTGAATATAATGTTATAAGATGGAAAGACAAACGTTTCAAAGTATGGTAACAATTAACATAAGAACAGCACACCTGGCATATGCAAATGAGCCACAACACAAAAGGGGGTTCACAAGCAAACCCACGCAGTAGCGAGTGTGTCAACCTTGTGCATTGATGCAGGCCAGGTACCTTCGTCTCACTGCGGCCACTAAACATCGATGCAAGTCCTGGAGTGAAGGGTTTGGTTGGGTTCCTGCAGCGTTGTTGAGGACTGATGTTGTAAATGTTGCTACATTTCAAATAATTAACCGATTTGTCCCATTGGTGAGAGACTATGATGAACACCACCTGCTATCACATGAATTGGGTGTCGATCTGAAAGACAAAAGGATCTGGGACTAGGGTGTAGTTTACTAGTAGCCTCTTTTTGAGGCGTATAGCACAAAAAGTCTAGATGAGGTGTATTCCATGTCAAGGTGATCTGTTTTAATACCTCGAGATGGTAGATCCATGACCTTGCGCTATCGGGAAAGGCAATCTGCAAGTACGTTTAACTTGCCGGCTGTGAGACATGAAAACAACTCTTCAATTCAAATAAAGGCGAAAGTTCCTTCAACAAATGTCTTCATCTCTTTCGAGTCCGAGGCTTTCGATTCTGACCAGTGGTGTAATAAACATTTCCATGTTATCACTGCTCAGATAACTTACAATTCCGGACAATTTAAACTTCTTGTTTTGGTCTTACTGTGATCTCGTCTACATGAGCATCCGACCCTTGCCGGGCCTGTCTGTGCAGTGGTAATATAAAGGGAAGGAAATATGAAGGGACCGCCTTGCATAACATGGCAACACTGAAGCCTCCACTGTAGTCTCAATAGCTGACCTTCAGGGGATTAGTTGAATCTGCCAGTTCTTTATATCTGTGGTATTCTTCCAAACTTTTAGTGGGCATATTTCTTGGCTTATGTCGGAACTTGAAAATATTTTAATATGCCTGTGCAAAACATTCACCTGATTGAGTGCATTTAGGATAATCTCTCTTGCTCTCTCATATCTGTCATCCAGAGGATTTTAAGATACTCTATAAAAGCTCAAACCTCATTGCTATGTACACTGTGTCTTGAGATGGTGCCAATTTCCAATCATCAGCATGTACCAGAAAACGCAGACTAAAAAAGAAATGGTGTGATATGCTGATGAGGGGACTTTCTTTGACTGGGTAGGCAGCCATGGTTCTACTGATATCTAACACATTTAAGGCCACGTTAGAAGTGTCTGTGTGACTGTAGTTAATTACAACTCTGAAATCTGTGAGTGAGAGCGTGTGTGGGTGAGTTTTTACGCGGTTTTAATGTAGGAATATTTCAGCAGCATTGGGCTTCACACATTGTACCCATGTTGGGAATCGAACCCGGCCCTTCAGCGTGACGAGCAAACGCGTTAACCAGTAGGCTACCCCACCGCCCCTGTCTCTGAAGACACGAAAGTGAAGTCCAATATGGACATCATGCTTCACCTTAGTTGATCGGAAATAACGTTCTTAACTTGCCGATGCAGATTGTTGCGTTGAATAAGTAGGAATTGTGCATTGATGTGGAGCCTGAAGATCTTAATGCATCTGAAGAATGATGTCCTGCGTGCTCAGGATAAATCCAACTTGTGGTTAATCTTCAGATTCTTGACCATTGACAGGGAGCCCTACATGTCTCAGTCCCGCTCATACAAATATGCATATAAATGGTGATATCGGTTATTGTTTATCAACAATGCCAAGATCCATAAACATGATCATCTCCACATGAACTCCATGTCATTGATAGGAGACATGGGTAATGGACCATTCTGTGTATTATATTGATTTCTATTCTTGTGAGTGAAAGGCAGGATGGATTTCTGCAAGTAATAAATTTACTACCGTGCCCACTTTGGTATCGACACTGTCATGGGAACCGCAAGGATTGTAATTACTTTGTATTGAGTAAGCACCGGTTCAACTTCGTCATTGATTGATGGATACACTTCATCATTGAGTCTACCCGTGAAGATCCGGGTTAGAATATTGATCTTCAGCAACCCATGCTTGTCGTAAGAGGCGACTGACGGGATCGGGTGGTCAGGCTCACTGACTTGGTTGACACATGTCATCGGTTCCCAATTGCGCAGATCGATGCTCATGCTGTTGATCACTGGATTATCCGGTACAGACCGCCACCATATAGCTGTACTATTGCTGAGTGCGGCGAAAAGTTTCAACCCAAGTCTCCCTTGAGCCAACGTAAACGTGGTTAGTGTTCGTGAACATTTACTACCACGTAAGGTGTTAAATATACTGTAAGCCATTAAAAATGCAATTGGTATTTGTTGTCTTCAATCTTACAAAAAGTTCTATTGAAGAATGTTTCCTGCGATACAGAGGATGTAGGGATAAAAGGCTGTTATTCTGGCCCATTTCGAGTTCGAGTCCCGGAGCATTCCTCTCACATGAACTTTGATACTTAAAACTGAAACTTTGACATTTCTCGTAAACACAACCACATTCATGAAACACGTTGTGCACATGCATTACCTGCACCCAGGCCCTGTAAAAGCACAAGGAATTGTGGAACTCAATCACTTTGAGAAAATGCCACACTTGACACAAGACGTAAGGAATCAGGTTATCGGTATGGTCAGCCAAGGTGCTTCAGATGTGATGATAGCCAGGCACTTTAATGTGCATCCATCCACTGTAAGTCGACTCAGACAACGTTTTCGGGCTACCGGAAGTGTTGCTGATCGTCCGCGACCTGGTGCACCACCTGTGATAACAGCTCGACAAAACCGCAATATCCGAGTTTCACACTTGCGAAATCGGTTCCAAACAGCTGATGATTAGGCAAGGAGGACAATTGGGACAAGTCAACGTCATTTCAGCGCCCAAAAGGTGCAAGGACGCCTTGCTGCCTTCAACATCCGGTGTCGTCACCCGTACCGTGGTCCAACCTTATTGCATCGCCACAGACTTGCCAGACAGCGATGGGCAGCAAATGGGGCCAATCTTGGCAACAGGACATGGCCAGATGTAATTTTTCAGATGAATCCAGGTTTAACTTATCCTTTGCAGATGGACGTCAACAGATTTATCGACGTAAAGAAGACAGACTTGCGCCAAACTGTGTCCTTGAACATGATCGTTTTGGAGGGGGTGGTGTCATGATCAGACCACAGACCATCAGAGGCTGCAGACCATCCAACAGCTGTTCCTGAGAAATGTGTGTCTTTCAATGCCCCAAAGACTGCGAGCATGTCTTGCAGCGCACGGTGGACACACACGATATTGACTGCAAGTGACCCCTCCTTTGTGTGATGTCGTTGTTGCTGTCACTGATGTTGTTGTTGACTGGACATTTTCAGATGAAATTATTCACAGATGTTCACTTAAAACATATCTGCCAGTTAGGTTTATATATGTTGACATTAGTGTGAGTAAAGAAAGTATGAATGTCAAATTGCATTTTTAATGGCTTTCAGTATAGAATGGGATTTGACTGAACATTTCTCTTGAATAATAAAGAGAAACTAAACTTTCCGACCGACCCGGCAATGGACTGTAGTCCTGTGGCCAGAGCTGAATGCCCACTTTTTTGTTTTGGACTGGTGGGTTGGGTAACGGGATCTATCCTCAAAAGAAGAGGAGGTCCCTTATTTTTCACCTTCTT